CTTGACCCACGAATAATGTCTTGATACATCCGTCAACCTGACCCTCACTGCCGGTGTTACGTTAATGCTGACATCTTGGTAACGATCCACCAACGCCTTGTACACTTGAGCAGTTAGCACTTTTACGAATATTCTATAAACACCATTCAGTGCCACTCCATACAAATCCTCGTCTCTGATGCCATATGTCTCTCTCGTATAATTTTGGGCAATAACACATCGACTGACGTAGGCGTTAAAGCCCCACTAATGAGCTCAATGCCCACAGTATTCACTCTCCGGCGCACACCTAGCGCCATATTGTTGTCTGAGTAGCTCGTCTGGGTAAACAGTAGAGGGGTGCAAAGCACGACTGCACTCTACCTCATCCAGGCAGCGAATGACGCCCGCAGAAGTATACTGAGTGAAATAGTGTGTCAAGCTGAGGTGGTAGGGTGCATTACCAAGTGCTGTACACACTGTATACAACCGAAGGAGGATGTTAAGAAACTTCTAGTTAAGCCAGATACCTCGAAGGCAGTTGGCCCAGATAACATTTCTCCGTGGATCCTAAGAGAAGGAGCAGATGCACTTACTATTTGTGCCACTTACAATAATCTTCAATAAATCTATTGAAACAGGGCAACTCCTTGAGATGTGGAACACAACAAACGCAACCCAAATTTTTAAGAACGGTCACAGACAGGAAGCACTAAATTATAGACCTATGTCACTGACATTTATGGTATGTAAAGTTATTTATTATTATCACACTGGCCGATTCCCACCAAGGCAGGGTGGCCCGAAAAAGAAAAACTTTCACCATCATTCACTCCATCACTGTCTTGCCAGAAGGGTGCTTTACACTACAGTTTTTAAACTGCAACATTAACACCCCTCCTTCAGAGTGCAGGCACTGTACTTCCCATCTCCAGGACTCAAGTCCGGCCTGCCGGTTTCCCTGAATCCCTTCATAAATGTTACTTTGCTCACACTCCAACAGCACGTCAAGTATTAAAAACCATTTGTCTCCATTCACTCCTATCAAACACGCTCACGCATGCCTGCTGGAAGTCCAAGCCCCTCGCACACAAAACCTCCTTTACCCCCTCCCTCCAACCCTTCCTAGGCCGACCCCTACCCCGCCTTCCTTCCACTACAGACTGATACACTCTTGAAGTCATTCTGTTTCGCTCCATTCTCTCTACATGTCCGAACCACCTCAACAACCCTTCCTCAGCCCTCTGGACAACAGTTTTGGTAATCCCGCACCTCCTCCTAACTTCCAAACTACGAATTCTCTGCATTATATTCACACCACACATTGCCCTCAGACATGACATCTCCACTGCCTCCAGCCTTCTCCTCGCTGCAACATTCATCACCCACGCTTCACACCCATATAAGAGCGTTGGTAAAACTATACTCTCATACATTCCCCTCTTTGCCTCCAAGGACAAAGTTCTTTGTCTCCACAGACTCCTAAGTGCACCACTCACTCTTTTTCCCTCATCAATTCTATGATTCACCTCATCTTTCATAGACCCATCCGCTGACACGTCCACTCCCAAATATCTGAATACGTTCACCTCCTCCATACTCTCTCCTCCAATCTGATATTCAATCTTTCATCACCTAATCTTTTTGTTTTCCTCATAACCTTACTCTTTCCTGTATTCACCTTTAATTTTCTTCTTTTGCACACCCTTCCAAATTCATCCCCAATCTCTGCAACTTCTCTTCAGAATCTCCCAAGAGCACAGTGTCATCAGCAAAGAGCAGCTGTGACAACTCCCACTTTGTGTGTGATTCTTTATCTTTAACTCCACGCCTCTTGCCAAGACCCTCGCATTTACTTCTCTTACAACCCCATCTATAAATATATTAAACAACCATGGTGACATCACACATCCTTGTCTAAGGCCTACTTTTACTGGGAAAAAATTTCCCTCTTTCCTACATACTCTAACTTGAGCCTCACTATCCTCGTAAAAACTCTTCACTGCTTTCAGTAACCTACCTCCTACACCATACACTTGCAACATCTGCCACATTGCCCCCTATCCACCCTGTCATACGCCTTTTCCAAATCCATAAATGCCACAAAGACCTCTTTAGCCTTATCTAAATACTGTTCACTTATATGTTTCACTGTAAACACCTGGTCCACACACCCCCTACCTTTCCTAAAGCCTCCTTGTTCATCTGCTATCCTATTCTCCGTCTTACTCTTAATTCTTTCAATTATAACTCTACCATACACTTTACCCGGTACACTCAACAGACTTATCCCCTATAATTTTTGCACTCTCTTTATCCCCTTTGCCTTTATACAAAGGAACTATGCATGCTCTCTGCCAATCCCTAGGTACCTTACCCTCTTCCATACATTTATTAAATAATTGCACCAACCACTCCAAAACTATATCCCCCACCTGCTTTTAACATTTCTATCTTTATCCCATCAATCCCGGCTGCCTTACCCCCTTTCATTTTACCTACTGCCTCACGAACTTCCCCACACTCACAACTGGCTCTTCCTCACTCCTACAAGATGTTATTCCTCCTTGCCCTATACACGAAATCACAGCTTCCCTATCTCATCAACATTTAACAATTCCTCAAAATATTCCCTCCATCTTCCCAATACGTCTAACTCTCCATTTAATAACTCTCCTCTCCTATTTTTAACTGACAAATCCATTTGTTCTCTAGCTTTCTTAACTTGTTAATCTCACTCCAAAACTTTTTCTTATTTTCAACAAAATTTGTTGATAACATCTCACCCACTCTCTCATTTGCTCTCTTTTTACATTGCTTCACCACTCTCTTAACTTCTCTCTTTTTCTCCATATACTCTTCCCTCCTTGCATCACTTCTACTTTGTAAAAACTTCTCATATGCTAACTTTTTCTCCCTTACTACTCTTTTTACATCATCATTCCACCAATCGCTCCTCTTCCCTCCTGCACCCACTTTCCTGTAACCACAAACTTCTGCTGAACACTCTAACACTACATTTTTAAACCTACCCCATACCTCTTCGACCCCATTGCCTATGCTCTCATTAGCCCATCTATCCTCCAATAGCTGTTTATATCTTACCCTAACTGCCTCCTCTTTTAGTTTATAAACCTTCACCTCTCTCTTCCCTGATGCTTCTATTCTCCTTGTATCCCATCTACCTTTTTACTCTCAGTGTAGCTACAACTAGAAAGTGATCTGATATATCTGTGGCCCCTCTATAAACATGTACATCCTTAAGTCTACTCAACAGTCTTTTATCTACCAATACATAATCCAACAAACTACTGTCATTTCGCCCTACATCATATCGTGTATACTTATTTATCCTCTTTTTCTAAAATATGTTTACCTATAACTAAAAACCCTTTCTATACAAAGTTCAATCAAAGGGCTCCCATTATCATTTACACCTGGCACCCCAAACTAAACCCACCACACCCTCTCTAAAAGTTTCTCCTACTTTAGCATTCAAGTCCCCTACCACAATTCTCTCCACTTGGTTCAAAGGCTCCTATACATTCACTTAACATCTCCCAAAAAACTCTCTCTCTCCTCTGCATTCCTCTCTTCTCCAGGTGCATACACGCTTATTATGACCACTTCTCGCATCAACCTTTACTTTAATCCCATAATTCTTGAATTTACACAAATTTATATTTTCTTTTCTCCTTCCATAACTGATCATTTAACATACTGCTACCCCCTTCCTTTGCTCTAACTCTCTCAGATACTCCAGATTTAATCCCATTTAATTTCCCCCACTGAAACTCTCTACCCCTTCGCTTTGTTTCGCTTAGGGCAGGACATCCAACTTCTTTTCATTCATAACATCAGCAATCATCTGTTTCTTGTCATCCGCACTACATCCACGCACATTTAAGCAACCCAGTTTTATAAAGTTTTTCTTCTTCTCTTTTTTAGTAATTGTATACAGGAGAAGGGGTTACTAGCCCATTGCTCCCGGCATTTTAGTCGCCTCATACGACACGCATGGCTTACGGAGGAAAGATTCTTTTCCACTTCCCCATGGAAGAAGATTATCGGGATAAGAGAGGTGAATCACCTAGAAAAAATTGGCCTTATTCATGAAAACCAGCTTAGGTTCAGGGAAGGGAAATCCTGCATCAATGCCCTACTGGAGTTTTACGGCAAGATAACAGAAATACGACAGAAGAGAAAGGGATGTTTAGACTGCATATTCTTGGACTGTAAGAATGCTTTCGATACAGGATCACTCAAGGAGACTGGTTGAAAACCTGGACGAGCAGGCAGGTATAGCAGGGAGAGTACTGCTATGGATCAGGGAATACCTGACAGGAAGGAAATAACGTGTATGTTACGCCAGTGAAGGCCCCCACACTCAGGAGATTTCCGTTTAACTGTTCCCAATTCTTCCTTGGGCACTCGACTAGACCCACAAGCCATTCGGATTGGTGGCTCTTCGCCTAGAATATACGATCAAAGCTCATGAACAGTGGGGGAGAGTTGACCTAGTAGCGACCAGGAAAGGCGAGGGCAGGAGGATGACTTAAACCCCTGCCAACCACAATTAGACGAGTACATTAAGGTGAAGATACACGCACATACAACACACATACACACAGGCCCGAGCTAAGAGGACGGCGTCAGTGAGGACAGCAATTGCAACTTCATGTACAGTTACACTTGGCAGGCGCCACTCCCACACCACCAACAGCCGACAACAGCATCGACCCCCATACGCCCACGCTCTTCACCTCTGCACCAGCTATCCTCGGCTGCCCCCCGGTAATAAAGCGTTTCCTCCATCATCTGCTGGAAAACAAGGGCTTAGCTTTGAGCTAGATAATGAAAATATGATTGTAAGACAGATCGTCAGTTACTAAAGAAATTTGCCAGAGTTAATGATGATAATATTAAAAACAATAAACTCATAAGTTCAAAACACTTTTTGTAGTCATCGGGAACCCCACACATCAAGCATGGACACTACATCCAGAGACAGTTACTTGCAACTATGATCCCTCAGACATTACATAACTTCCTGAATGTCTCCAAGTAACACCTTCGTTATAAAATTGCTTCTCTTCTGAGATGCTTGATGCCAACAGTTGCTTGCGATGGTCCTGTTCTGACCTAGTCTTAATGCAGAATGGAGGTGGTAAAGATGCAACCCAAAATCCATCTGGTGATTAACACAACAGAACTACTTAATGAGTTCAACTTTGTTGAAACCCCCATCATGTACACCATGGATGAAAAACTAGATGACCATCAGCTTTCTCTGGACGTACCGCTCTATACAGTAAAAATTGAAAAATAGAAGTTTAACCGAAACAACAAAGGTCGTCCCTCAGTACTTTTTCCACGCTAACGATGCATGGTGTAATGAAAGGTAACATTGCAGGTTTCTCTTGAGGGGTATTGCAGATATCCATTTCCTTATAGAAATGGAAATGCTGTTAACTTTCAGTAAAGCAGAATCACCCTCCCTTAGGCATTAGGGAATATATAAAAATTCTCAAACATACACAAATTTTCGAGAAGAATGGTTACTCTTCCAATCATTTTAGTCTCTCTTGAAGAGGAGGGGAACTTGGGTATTTACTGACTAGGTCTGCCCAAGATGTTGTGTGTTTGTGTGTGTGAGCCTGTGTGTTAGTGTGTGTGTGGATTCGCCTATTTGTAGTTGCAAGGGTTGATTGCAGCTCCTGGCCTCTCTCACTCCCCCTGGTTTTGTCCTTAACGTGATGGACAAGAAGTTTTCTAATACCTCCAGTATTTTGGCTCTCCGCGTCTCCAGATTTCCCCAGTCTCCTTATAGTTGAAATACCCCATGATGAGTAACTTTACTCTGCTCATGTGGGCCCTTCTAGTAATCTCGGCTATTGTGTCCATCATCACACTGTTGCTCTCATCATATTCCTGTCTTGGCCTCCTACTGCTTGGTGGCAGGTTGTACATCACTGCTATCATCACTTTTTGACCCCCAGTATACAGTGCTCCTACTATGTAGTCGTCCACTACCCCTCTGACTAGTCCTTCCATCTCCTCAAAACTCCATTGGCATTTTAATGAACATGCAACTTCCTCCTCCTCCTCCTCCCCTCCTCCTCCTCCTCCCCTCCCCCTCTAACCCCCCCCCCCCCACCGTCTTTCCCCTCGGAACTGATAACTACATGGGATGATTGCATCTTTTATGCACTTACGTGAACTTTGTCTCTATGATTAACTCTGATGTCCTGGGATGCTTCAGTGATTCTTTCGTGACTCTCCTCCCTTTTATTAGTAATTCCATCGGCCTTCAGTTTCCTTTCCAGAATTGATTCTGGGGAGGTTGTGTTGGTGGTACCACACCTTCAATTTTTCCCTTTCTAGAATTGATCTGGGGAATTGGAAAGTTGATGCTGCAGGCTGTGTGGGAGTGTAGGCAGCCTAGTTATTATGGTAGTATGCTGGTGTTGCACTATTAAAATGGCTGGGGGGTGGGCTGTGATGTGGATGAGTTTGGCGATTGTTATAGTGCGTGGTTGGTGATGGGATTGCAGGGGTAGATGGGATGCTGTGGGTTGGTCTGGGTGTTTTGGTTGGTTTTGCTGTTTCCTTACGAGTATGTGCCAGCTCTGTCTGACAGTGCATACCCTTTCGCCAAGATATGCCCAGAGGCAAAAGTAATCTGTACTCCATTGTGGCTTCTTACTTCTCCTTAACTCTTCATTCTTACTCATTGTCTCTTCCCCTCGTTTAGTTCCCGTTTTTCGTGTCTCTGGTCGTGGTGGTACACTCGCGATTATTTTTTGTGAACCCATTTAACAGTAGCTTCCACTGCAGGAGTTTATTTTTTTTATTCATGTCATTTCGACTTGAATGTCAATAGACTGAGTTATCTTTTCCTTTTCTTTTTCCTTTCTTCTTTTTCTTTCTTCCCTGAGAACACACCCAAGTCGAAAATTTGCAGTTGAGTCAATGTTGGTCTCGGCTCTCCTGTTACCAGCGATGAATGCTCTTCGTGTGTCTCTAGAATCTCCCGGGTCCTCGTGACTATGTTTTCAAATCGGGGACGGGTTGGTTGCAGTGGTGTTGAGTGATGTGTGAGGTGTGTGTGTGTTGTGGGGTGGAGGTGTGTGTGGGTGTGTGAGGTACAAGGATGTGTTTATGGTTTTAACATTTGTTTTAAGTATAGTCAGCTATTCGTTTATACTCTTTATATAAAAAAAAATATATCACCTTGACACTCTGGATTGTGTATATATGAATTGAGTCCGAAATGCTGGCACTGACCTATCAACACAGCATAACTTTAATTACATGACATTTATTTGCAAATCATATAGAGATAGCCCTGTCGTACTGACCTGCGTCTTGGTGTAGCTGCTGCAGCAGTATTAGCTGCACGACGCCTGAGATGACCTTAAGCCTTGGCACGCTCTTTCTTTCTCCCTTCCTTCTGTAGAAAGTCCTTGCCTGCGCCTCCATCCACAGCAACCGCCTTCCAGTACTGTCCCCGGGGTCTCGTTGCCACAAAAACGATTCAATGCTGACCCCATGAAGTTCAGAATAGGACAACTGATAAAGGTCTAGGCATATTAAAACAAAAATTGGTACACACTTTTGCTGTATCTGTGTTCTGTATGATAAGATATTTGCAGGTATAGATGATAAAAAGTTTATCTGTCAGCGGGGTGGAGTGCGGACATTCATAAGATAAATTCTGTGAACAAATACTGGGAAACTTCAGTAAGTTGAAAAGAATATAGGCAGATCAGAGATGTGGGAGAGGCCTGCTGGAGGAGAGAAATGATTAGGAGAGGTTAGAAGGAGCAAGTAACAGAAATAAAATTTTGAATGAGTATTAATATGTGAAGACATTTGCTATAATATATTATTATTCCTGTTTGTTTTATTCTAACTGGCTGAAACTACAAGGGTAGTACTGTAGGTTAGAGAGCTTGTAACTGACAGAATAGAATGAAATTCAGAAAGTGTTTCTAGGCCCATAAGGAAGATAGTCAGCAGGTATTGTAAGGCTATAAGAGCAATGTTTGACTTGACTGAGAGAACCTCAGGTCATGTCCAGAAAGTTAATAAAGCAAAATATTATGACTGTTGTGTGTGTGTGCGTGTGTGTGTGTGCGTGTGTGGTGTGTGTGTGTGTGGTGAGTGTGTGTGTGTGATTGTGCGCGCGCGCGCGTGCATGATGAGCAAGGGAATGTCTCAACTTGTAAAGAGCTGAAGCTTCCTTGGCAACGGCCGCCACTTGACAACTTGTGAGAGTAACTTGGCCGCCACCGTCCACCGTCCACCACCTCCTGTCTCAGGCTTCGCCGACCCAGCAGTGACACCAGGAACTCCATGTCCCTAGCTCAGTCCGCCCAGCAGCGCTGCAGAATCACACGTGTAGGTTATACACATAATGTAAAACAATAAGGAATAAAATATATGCCGTGATACACAAAAAAAAAGAGTCGGATTTACAAGTTGCAGAACACAAGTGAGGTTGGATTTACATGTTTCAAACCATAAATAGGTATGAATTATAAATTTCTGCAGGATATGCATGTCACAGAAGCACAAACAGGGCATCACATGCAAGTCGCAGAACACTAGTAGTAAGCAGGGCCGGATTAAGGAATAGGGTCCAGGGGCTGCAGCCCCTGTACCCCTGGGCTGCAGCCCCTGGACCCCTGGGCTGCAGGGCTGGAGGGCCACACGAGATGAAAAGTGAACTGAAATTATACTACATCACCTATATGATCAACTGTTGTGTCGTATTTATTTTTTTTCTATTGAAAATATCACTGGGACTCACAGTACAGAAGCCCAGGACCTCACAGTAGCATTACCCAGGGACCTCACAGTAGCCGTAGCCCAGGGACCTCACGAGTAGCAGTAGCCCAGGACCTCAACAGTACATACCCAGGACCTCACAGTAGCAGTAGCCCAGGGACCTCACAGTAGCAGTAGCCCAGGGACCTCACAGTAGCAGTAGCCCAGGGAACTCACAGTACCAGTAAGCCCAGGGACCACACAGTAGTCATTATCCCAGGGACCTCACAGTCAGATAGCCCAGGACCTCACAGTCCAGTAGCCCAGGGGACCTCACAGAAGCATTAGCCCAGGACCTCATCAGTAAGCATAGCCCAGGACCACACTACCAGTAGCCCAGGGACCCACAGTAGCAGTAGCCCCGGGTACCCTTACAGTAGCCATTAGCCCAGGGACCTCCACAGTACCATAGCCCAGGACCTCACATACCAGTACCCAGGGACTTCACAGTAGAGAAAGCCCCGGACCTCACAGTAGCAGTAGCCCCCCCCATGGAACCTCACAGTACAGTAGCCCAGGGACCTCACAGTAGCAGTAGCCCAGGGACCTCACAGTAGCAGTAGCCCAGGGACCTCACAGTAACAGTAGCCCAGGGACCTCACAGTAGCAGTAGCCCAGGGACCTCACAGTACCAGTAGCCCAGGGACCTCACAGTAGCCAGTAGCCCAGGGACCTCACAGTACCAGTAGCCCAGACCTCACCGTAGCATAGCCCAGGGACCACACATAGCATAGCCAGGGACCTCACAGTAGCATAGCCCCAGGACCTCACAGTACAAGCCCAGGACCTCACAGTAGCAGTAGCCCAGGGACCTCACAGTAGCAGTAGCCCAGGGACCTCACAGTAGCAGTAGCCCAGGGACCTCACAGTACCAGTAGCCCAGGGACCTCACAGTAGCCAGTAGCCCAGGGACCTCACAGTACCAGTAGCCCAGGGACCTCACAGTACCAGTAGCCCAGGGACCTCACAGTAGCAGTAGCCCAGGGACCTCACAGTAGCAGTAGCCCAGGGACCTCACAGTACCAGTAGCCCAGGGACCTCACAGTAGCAGTAGCCCAGGGACCTTACAGTAGCATTAGCCCAGGGACCTCACAGTACCAGTAGCCCAGGGACCTCACAGTACCAGTAGCCCAGGGACCTATCCCATAGCAAAGCCCTGGACCTCACATAGCAGTACCAGGGGACCACACAGTAGCAGTAGCCCAGGGACCTCACAGTACCGTAGCCCAGGGACCTCACAGTAGCAGTAGCCCAGGGACCTCACAGTAGCAGTAGCCCAGGGACCTCACAGTAGCAGTAGCCCAGGGACCTCACAGTAGCAGTAGCCCAGGGACCTCACAGTACCAGTAGCCCATGGACCTCACATTAGCAGTAGCCCAGGGACATCACAGTACCAGTAGCCAGGACCTCACATAGCAGTAGCCAGGGACCTCACAGTAGCAAGTTAGCCCAGTGACCTCACAGTCAGTAGCCCAGGGACCTCACAGTAGCAGTAGACCAGGGACCACACATAGCAGTAGCCCAGGACCTCACGTACCATAGCCCAGGGACCTCACAGTAGCAGTAGTCCAGGGACCACACAGTAACCAGTAGCCCAGGGACCTCACAGTAGCAGTAAGCCCAGACCTACAGTACCAGTAGCCCATGGACCTCACAGCTAGCAAAGCCCAGGACCTCACAGTACAGTAGCCCAGGGACCTCACAGTAGCAGTAGCCCAGGGACCTCACAGTAGCAGTAGCCCAGGGACCTCACAGTAGCAGTAGCCCAGGGACCTCACAGTAACAGTACCCAGGACCTCACAGTAGCAGTAGCCCCCGACCACACAGTAGCCGTAAAGCCCAGGGACCTCACAGTAGCTTAGAGCCCAGGGACGTCACAGTAGCTGTAGCCCAGGGACCTCACAGTAGCAGTTTACCCAGGACCTCACAGAACCCATAGCCCAGGGACCTCACAGTAACATACCCAGGACCTCCAAGTAGCAGTAGCCAGGGACCACAGTAGCAGTTGCCCGGGACCTCCAGTACAGTAGCCCAGACCTCACAGTAACAGTAGCCCAGGGACCTCACAGTAAACAGTAGCCCGGGACCACAGAGTACCAGTAGCCTCAGGGACCTCACATACCAGTAGCCTCAGGGACCTCACAGTACCAGTACCCAGGGGACCACAGTACCAGAGCCCAGGGACCTCACCGTAGCAGTTAGCCGCAGGGACCTCACAGTAGCAGTAGCCCAGGACCTCCAGTAGCAGTAACCAGGGACCTCACATGTACCATAGCCCAGGGACCTCACAGTACCACTAGCCCAGGGACCTCACAGTAGTCAGTAGCCCAGGACCTCACAGTACCAGAGCCCGGGACCTCACAGTACCAGTAGCCCAGGGACCACACAGTAGCCAGTAGCCCAGGACCTCAAAAGTACCAGTAGCCCAGGGAACCTCACAGTAGTAGTAGCCCAGGACCTCCAGTAACCAGTAGCCAGGGATCCTCACAGTAACAGTAGCCCAGGGACCTCACAGTACCAGTAGCCCAGGGACCTCACAGTACCAGTAGCCCAGGGACCTCACAGTACCAGTAGCCCAGGGACCTCACAGTACCAGTAGCCAAGGACCTCCCAGTACCAGTACCCCTGGGACCCCACAGTACCATAGCCAAGGACCTCACAGTACTAAGTAGCCAAAGGAACCTCACAGAACCAGTAGCCCCAGTGGACCTCACAGTAACAGTAGCCCAGGGACCTCACAGTAACAGTAGCCCAGGGACCTCACAGTAACAGTAGCCCAGGGACCTCACAGTAACAGTAGCCCAGGGACCTCACAGTACCAGTAGCCCAGGGACCTCACAGTACCAGTAGCCCAGGGACCTCACAGTAACAGTAGCCCAGGGACCTCACAGTACCAGTAGCCCAGGGACCTCACAGTACCAGTAGCCCAGGGACCTCACAGTACCAGTAGCCCAGAGATCTCACAGTACCAGTAGCCCAGGAACCTCACAATACCAGTAGCCCAGGGGCCTCACAGTACCAGTAGCTCAGGGACCTCACAGTACCAGTAGCTCAAAGGACCTCACAGTACCAGTAGCCCAGGGACATCACACTAACAGCAGCACAGGTACCTCACAGTACCAGTAGCCCAGGTACCTCACAGTACCAGTAGCCCAGGTACCTCACAGTACCAGTAGCCCAGGGACCTCACAGTACCAGTAGCCCAGGTACCTCACAGTACCAGTTGCCCAGGTACCTCACAGTACCAGTAACCCAGGGGCCTCACAGTACCATAGCCAGGTAACCTCATCAGTACCATAGCCAGGGACCTCAACAGTAACAGTAGCCCAGGGACCTCACAGTAACAGTAACCCAGATACCTCACAGTACCAGTAGCCCAGGGGCCTCACAGAACCAGTAGCCCAGGGGCCTCACAGAAACTAAAAAAAAAGTTAGCCCAGGGACCGTCACAGTACCATACCCAGGGACCTCACAGTAAACAGAAAGCCCAGGGACCTCACATACCAGTAGCCCAGGGCCTCACAAACCAGTAGCCCCAGGGGACCTCACAGTAATAGCCAGGGACTTCATTGGTACCAGTACCCAGGGGCCTCACAGTAACCATAAGCCCCAGCACCTCACAGTAACCAGCCCCGGGAAGCTCTCACAGTACCAGTAGCCCAGGGACCTCACAGTACCAGTAGCCCAGGGACCTCACAGTACCAGTAGCCCAGGGACCTCACAGTACCAGTAGCCCAGGGACCTCACAGAA